TAAGTCATTAATATATAAAAGAAACAAAAAGGGACGAGAATTGAGCCCTAAGGCACACCCATTTGTACTATCGACCCGGAAGAACTCATACTAATTAGGACAACGTATTTTGTGTTCTGTAACATAAATATGAAATAATACATTTAAAAGCATCACTCCTAATATCGTAGTGTTTAAGTTTCCTGACTACTGTTTCATGGTGAATACAATTGAAGGCTTTCCTGACTGCTGTTTCATAGTGAACACAATCGAAGGCTATGGATAGGTCTCAGAATGTTATTATAAATACAATAACTTTAAAGATAATCCTCCACAGATCTGCGATCTATAAATAAAACTGTACTATTTGTGTATGAAGTTTTTCACTACGTTACTTCTAAAATTCTTTAAGCGACGTGCTTTTACTGGAACAAATACAACTTTCTTATCTGCTTGCTTTTTATGACCTGGTAATAACACGATGAGTCAAAATTTCCTTTAATTGGCTTTTATTGGCGCTAGATTATTTTATTTTTCCAGTATAAAGAAGCACTTGTCTATTTTTTATGTTTTGTGTTTCAATTATCAGAAGACAATGTACAGTTTATGTTAGAAAAATGTATAAAGGCAACTTTTATTTTTTCTTATACTTACATACACACGGTATATTTTTCAATTAATAATAACGACATCACATTAAATACTCAAATAAGGATTTTCTTTAGTAGTTTTTTCCAATAATAATTGAACGAAAGGTTCGTGAATTTTCAAGTCAACATCGCGTATTTATCCAAAATTTTTGGCGTTTTTATAGTAAACTGAGTAATTATTTTGACGACAATCTGCCACCAACGTCTCGTCTTTATTTAAAAAATACGAGGTTTCTTAGTGCCTTAGTCATAAAGTCACGCAGTTTGGTTAATACATAACACAGTAATGTCATGTTTCCTATAAATGCCAACGGCTTTATCAAGGTCAAAATAAAAAAATGTATCAAATTTCGGCCTTACCTTATATCGAATATTGTAAATGTTTTTAAAAGTACGTAGGGCACTCAATAAGATTTGGAATATACAAAAAGTATTCTAGATACTATTATTATTTATTTTACATCTTTTCAAAATATTCTCCATCATGCTCTATACAAAGTTCCATTCGCCTAAACCCTAAACCAAATCTGAATACACTTTTGCCAGTCTTTATCTGACAGGTCAGAAATCGCTTCTTCGTAGGTTCTTCGGCGCTAGAAAAAAAATTGCCTTTTATTCACCACCAGATTCCTAAATAAATACTTTTGTTTTAAGGGAGGTACGTGAAGAGGCGTTGTCGTGATGCAGCATAATTTCCCGAAGCTTGGTATTTGGTTTTCTCTCCCGCACAGATTAAAAAACTTTGGGTAATGCAACTGTAGTATATATACCATTCAGAGTTGACTGACCTAAAATTTTCCAGCATTGACGTCGACAAATATCCGATTCGCGAAAAAAAAACTAGCCACCATTTTTTTGCCGACGTTGCGAGGTCTTTGCAGTTTTGTCGGTAACTGTCCTTCTAAGTAGACCCATACAGATGATTGCCTATTTTCCGGATGATAGATCCATGTCCCGTCACCAGTAAAGATTTCTGAAACACGCCTAGATGCCCCGTTTTCAAAACGACGCATTTCATGACACACGAGTCTGTTTTTCACTTTCGGAGAGCAAACAAAGGATCCATCGACAACAAAGCTTCCTTGCTCCAAGAGCTTCCTTGCTCAAAGAGGGTCTTTGGTCATTTTTAAGGTTAATTTTACCCCTTTTGAATTCAGCAAACCATCGAAAAATTGTTGCACGTGATGGAGCTAAGTCCCCTAATGTTGTTTGTAACCGTTGTAAACTTAATTGTTCGGATAAAGCAAATTTTAAATCATAATAGATCATAGCGCGCAAATGTTCACGGTTAACATCCATCGTTATAAATGAAAAGCTCGGGAAGCGTTGCAGAAAAATTAATAGAACTTTGTTTTTATTTTAATATTGAGCAATTGGCTTATGGAGTTCTATTTTTAAATAAATTTGTTTTTGAGAAACATATAACACGGGTGCGTTCCATTTTTATATATTGAGCATCTCAAAACTATTTGAGTGACATATGCATTTTCGCATTTCGCAAAGCTTTATTCCAATTAAGGTAGGTTGTAACTATGAAATTGTCGTTTTGTTGAATATTGCACTGTTATTATAACTATTTGAATTCTTTGACTTTGAATTCTAAATTATTTTTAATATAACAAGGCATATTAATATTTTTTTTAAATTATTTGTTGTTTTGGTGTTGTTTTTTCTACAATACCGCTATTTTTTAAATTATTATTTATAATGAGTTCCGCCGTGGAATGAATGCGTCTCAAACTATGTACCTACCTAAGCAGCACCGATGTATAGGACGGACTACGAGGTAATTGCTTTCTGGTGGCAGTTACGGCTGATCGTTACTGTCAAGAATTGCATATGATGGTGGAGAAGCTGGCACTCAAATAACCCAAGTTGGAGAACTGCTCATCGCCATTGACGCTTCATGACAACGGCCCAACGGCGGCACAAAGTAGCCCCGGCCACTTACTGCACAACAGGCCTTTTCCTTTTTAACCCTTCCCGTGTCAGATGAAGCTGCAAGAGCCGTAGAGGCTAACAGCACTAACATCACAGAAAATAGATAGACTGAACAACAGTCGTTGGCAAAATTAGCATAGAATCTAAAAAAAGAGCATCCAAACCTTCTCCCAACAAACTTTTAATTTTTTGAAAATTAAGATGACTTTTTCATAGACAAAAATTTCAATTTCGAAGAAGCAATAAAGATGGTCTTTTGAGAGGTCATCGATTCTCACGCAGTTGCGATAATGACGCTTCTAAAGCAAGGATGAAGAATGGCAAGAACGTGCGAATAGTTCAGGCAATAATTAGGCTTCGACTAATCAGTTTTTTCGTATGATTTTTTATTTAAATTTTTTCCCATACAATTAGCAATTTCACAGGTAATATTAATAATACCCCAGTTTCTTTCTTTACGATTCTTCCTTTTCGAGTCTGTAGTAGATTTTAAAAAGAACTTGAATTGTGGCCTAAAGCGAATATAATATTTTGACTTTATAAAGACAAAACTAAACCGACCCAAAAGACCTTTTGTATTGTGATAAAGTTAAGCAGTATACCTGACAGGTGCAATAAGTAGGTATAACAACAAACCTTCGTTATAGCTCGGTGCGTGTTTCCTTCGAAGTTATAACGAACAAAGTTTATTGATTCATTTATTTTCTTAAATTTCAGTTCATTTAGTCGTGATATAAATTGAATACTAATACAAGTTTTGTTTTTTAATGTCTAAAATATTTTTATTCCTTGTGAACATAAGAGATGTACAAAGTGGCATGCTGTGCATTCTTTAATTTTTTTTAAAAATCATACCGAAGAGGAAGCCTGCTGTGCATCCACTGAACCTGACGCATACCACCATGGCTGTTGTGGAGACTCCTCTCTCGCATTCGAGTTCGTCATCAAACGATAATCAAAACTGGGCGACGAGTTGTCTCCGGCGTTATTCGAAAATCCACTAGTAATTTTGTAAGTGTAGAGCTGATGCGTCGTCGCAGCTGTGCTCCTGGCTATCTCTTCGTTTAATTGTTGTTGGTGCTGTAGTTCACCTGAACCGCCCGGCCACCACGAGGCATCGTCGCGCGCACCCCAAGCGCCCCCCGTCGCGCCCCGTTCCCCCATATCACAATCCCCGCTTTCGGCTAACCAGTTTTCTTTATGCCACTTCAACTATTCTATAACGTAGATTGAGCAACACTTATTAAAACCATATCCCTTTCTCCACTGCACAAAATTAATTAACGTTACATTAATAACGGACAATGTTTTCACATAAAAGCTGTTACACTAAAGCACAAAATACTTTTTATCACAAAGACTCTATATAACTACGTTTGCTGTAACATCTTTAACATATATTACAACGATTGAAAACACAAATACACAACTTTTTCGTGTTGTTATATGTAAAAGCTGCCGGCTGTAAGTTCAACACCACGCGCGTACGTTTTGTCTTCGTTCGTGCTTAAGTCAATACAGTTGGCAACGCCGCACACCTAGACGCTAAACAAGTGCACCGTGGCGCCCCCAACGCGCAGCGGACTCCGGCGGAACGCTCAAAATGTACACGAGAAGACTCCGAACATGCGCCGAATATCCACGAAGTGGCAACATTCCCGTCCGGTAACCGGTCAATAAGACGATTAGCGCAGAGCTACAGCAGTCCGCGTTCATACCAAAATTCTTTTGTTTATGTTTACAGTAAATGAAAAGGTAAAATTTATGAGCAATTTTTAATACTCTTATATCAGAAGTCGAAAAAATGCAATTGTATATTAATTCCTTTGTTCATGTTTCGGCTCATGATTTAAAAAAAAATGGCAGCGTAAGAATACCCCATATCGTCCGTGGGTATCGTAAAAGGCGACAGAGAGAAATTGAAACAGTAGATGGGCAGCAGCACCTTCAAGATTACTAAAAATAATAAAAAAAAACTGCGCTGAGCAACCGCATCAAGCGTGGTAACTATGGAAAAGTCCTCCCTGTGAAGCAATTATGGGGGAAGCAGTGGACTTGGCTGTAATGGATTTCAAATATAAACATTGTATAATATATCAAATATTAATCGCTTAATTAAAGCGCATGATTTCTGACAAAATACCAATTTCCATAAACTTAAAAAAAAGCTGCAACACAGCTTTTTTAAAACGAATGTTACATAAAATTAAGGACTAGATTTGAGATAAACTCATTAAGTGCATTTGACAATTCACCAGTCAACCATGGCGTCTATAGATTATACGAATAACAAATTTGAGTATCCACCAACATAGTGATAGTGATGACGGTGATGATAATGATGATAGTTATGAATAACGTGTAGTAAGTATAAACAAATAATGAGTTAGTAGCCGCAAGCCTGCTACGAAGTTTAATAAAATAACTCACCGAAGACATGACTTACGAAAAATTAAGTTTGCGCGCCGAAATCTATTTTGGTTGCTGACATCACGTTCACGACAATTTTACCCGAACCTACAACAAAAAACATTTTTGTTATTGTTTTATATAGATCAAGTTTCTTATTATATTGAAATGAAAAAATCTGACAACTCAGAGCGCAGAGGATAGACATTTAATTGCGTTAATTGCAGATGTTTCTATGATCTACAAATGTTTATCAGGTACAAACATTTGTAGTCTGGATGTCTGTTAATGTTCAATTGTATGTGAAACGTCTTCATTATTCAGGATCAAAATCATAATATACGGGTAAGATTTTTTTAAAAGACAAAATATTGCGTTCCTTGGTAGCGTCACGTCAGTTCAATCTAAGTATATTTTAAGATAAAAAGTTGGATGAGGGAAGTCTTCAAACGACGACAAGATTATCCATCCAGACATGAAAACATGGAGTGTTAGACAAATAAAAGATTTTATATTTTCACATGTATGATTATTAGACTTTTATACTGAATACTGCGTAGAAATTTTATAATAACGTCCTTTAGACCGAATTTCGGTCACGGCGACCAGCCTCAACGGAGTCTAGCCATCGGCGCAGGAGAGGATTATAGTGCCCCAGTGTATGCGTAAGCTCAAGTGCACTCTCTATTCCCTCACTCTCATAATCCGATGGGGCGATAAACCAACCCGACCGGAGAGAAGATCAGGTGCAGAACCAACGGCTTTACGTGCTTTCCGAGGCACGGGGGTGAGACACCGCCAACTTCCTGGCTCCGGGCAGCTACTGAGAATTTCTTGACAGTAAAACTCAATAATTAATTTTTTTGCCCGACCCGGTATTCAAACCCAGGACCTCATGATCAGTAGTCGCACTACTTCAACCACTAGACCAACGAGGCATACATATATTATATACGCTACAAATTGTCAATCATTAAGAAACCTAACGAGCTTGTATTTAAGACACAGTGACAAAAAGATAACGTGTTAAGTTGTAAGTAAGTTGTAAGTAAGATGGTAAATGGATATTGTAGTAAGATATCAATCATCGATTAAACCTTAAAATGCAGATGCGTTGTCACCCAGATTGCTAAATATGAAATGTCTCGTTACTAGTACACGGGTATCCGCTTCTCTTTACCGTAGGAAAACAGCAGCATTTTGCTGATATTGTCCGCTGGTATTATTTGCGAACTTGGTCCTCCCTTGTTCCAACCGAACCGTTCGTGCTCCACAGCCACAATACATCTGAATTATACAACGTGGCTCCACCATCAATTATGAACCGACCTACCAATTACGAATAACAGCGTAAAATAGCAACGTATTGCCGGTGTGTTTCGTATAGTGAGTGTAGAAAACCGGAGACCCTTTTTACTAGAATCGAGGCATTCTATCTTAGTCCTCAGGGGTGACAACGCATTTGTATTTTGATTCTTAATTGAGGATCTATAAACCACAGCATCCACTTGCCATCGGATGGGACTGTGTAATGGTATAATGCTATAAAAAAAAAACACGGACAAGATTTGCAGCCTACACAATAATTACATAAAATGAAAAAATTCGTTTAAAATGCTTAAACATTGTTAATAGTTGTCTGGTTTAAGTGGTGAGGTGCGGGAGGGCTGATTTGTGGGACTAAATTGTGTATAGCAAGCACTTGATTGAACATATTTTTATACATTTTACGTAATTATGAGTATTATTTTCCTAATTCTAACTTCTACGTATATACTATGATAAATATTTTTTTCGTTTCACCAATGTATTGAATTGTTTTAATGATTGAGTCGTCTTGACGTGAAAAACACTAAAAAATATAACATAGAAAAAGATGTTATAATTATTAGAAACCAGACATGATTCGCTTTCAGCTTAAAATGTTCTGTAAGTACCTCAGACAAAGTATAAGTTTTTTTTTAAATATAATGTACATACTTCATGTCAACATTCCATTTTAAGTGCCTCTCTTTTCTAGTATAGAAATTTTATGGTCCCAAAATGGTACCTTCCAGAGGTAGGTATATACACCCCATTTAAGAATAATTTAAAATTAACGCGTTTGAAGTGTAAGTAGTTATAAGTTTAATTATATACTACCCAATAACACCAATAATGAAGGTGTAGATAATATCATTAATTCATACAATCATTCAAACAACATTTGCTATCATTTTTTTTTTGTGTCAGTATGTAATAGAGATCGCAATAGTATTTAAAATGGCAGTCAAAACGACATATCTGTACAGCCTATTTAAAGTTCACAGCTGAACATAGGCCTGCCCTTCCCCATAGATCGCCTCATAGGGGGGATATTTGCCATAATTGCCACGCATGGCAAGCTGGTTGACAACCATAGTTTTTATTTTTATTCATTATTAGGAAGATGCTGCTACTAGTCTCCTGATTTGTTTCTATTCGTCGCCTCTTACGACATCCACGGCATGATATAGATTAGTGGATATTCTTCACCGCCACTACACGGTATCATAAAAAAAAACGTCCTATCGTAGGTACATTTTATCCTGATAATTCTGATGAAGTAGAATACAGTGAATTTAAAAAATTAAATATACATATATCTTTTTAATTTTCTCAGGCATCTTTGGAGTTCACGTACAAAATCGACCGATATACTAAATATATAGATCAGTGTTTATTTTTTTTTTAATATTTCACGATGCACAGATTTTTCAGGTTGATTGATTTTTGGATCAAGCTGATTTTTCGTTCAATGTCGTTATATTATCATTTGCTTCGGCGTTACCGACAACAAAACTAATTTGAACATTAGTTAACATTCCATAATAAGCTAAAACTAAAGCTTTATACTGCTCTACGTACTATTTACAAATGGTTTAGTAGTTCAACACTGGTCGATCTAATCTCATTCATGATCTGTGTGAGTGATATCGTATATAACCTTTACGATGAGGCGCAATATTACCCCCCCAACAAGCTTTCGGCTGACCTGAACTGCCTCCTGGCGGCTCAGGCCGAGCCTACATAACACATCCCTTAATCTGCATTAGTTAGGCACTCTTCTAAGCGGCTTTTCGCCGCTTGCGCCCTCCTTTCTGCCAAGGAGGGTCGCGTTCGTATACGGCTTAGAGATCTCTAGTCAGATCGTTAAGCCAATTCCTAAAAGGTTGGGTTTAGTGGGTAAAAGTCACCACATAACTACGCAGCCGGCTGCGTGGTATGCTATGAGCATTTTGCTTCGGGCGCAAAAAAAAAAGCGCAATATTGTTTTTTTTTTAATTCTATAATCGAAGTTACAAACGTGCCTGAAAGTAAGTGGTCTTTGTTGCCTATGGACACCTGCAACTAACTTGCATATATCGTGTGGTCATCCCTGTGGACTAAATTTTTTTTAGCCTCTACATATACTGGCTGTCTTACTGTTCTAAATGGAACTTGGCAGTGAGTGATAAAATAGTGATATCTCCGTTGGAGTAATAGGTATATATAAAATTATTTTTTGTTTAATTCACATACAAATTTCTTACTAAAGAACGTTTTTAACGTTCGGAATGAAGTATTAAATACTAAAGCTTAATATCTACAATCGTCTCTTTCTTTTTTCGTGTTATTATTTTTTTATTCCGGAGACTATATCGTCTAATTAACAGCTATGGAGCAAGTAGATGAGTTTGTATATTTGGGATGTTTTAGCAGGGATGGGAGATATGATAAGGATATAGAACAACGAGTGAACGCAGGAAATAAAGTAAATGGGGCTCTACACTCTATTGTGAAAAGTCAGAATTTGTCAAAAAAGGCACGTATGGCAATTCACAATGCTGTGTTGGTCCCTACTTTAACGTATGGTAGTGAAAGTTGAGTGTGGCAGAAGAAGCACGAGAGTAGAATGAACACAGTAGAAATGCGGTCGTTGAAGAGTATGTTAGGGCTGAATCTGAATGACAGGGTGAGAAATTGTGTGATAAGAGAAGAGTGTGGTTTGCAAGATGATGTTGTGACCAGGATTAAGAAAGGAATGCTTCGGTGGTTTGGTCATGTGGAAAGAATGAATGAGGAAAGAGTGACAAAGAAAATTTATGTTGCAGAAGTGAACGCAAAGGGACCTCCTAGGCGAAAGTTTATCGACCAAATGGGCGATATATTGAAAATGGGCCAAATTAAGAGTACCCTTAACTGCCGAGCATGTATGCGTAGGTGGAGGATGTCGAGGAGGCGAGAGAGGATGTCAGGATCGTGTTAAATGGAATTCTGTAGATTCTGCCTACCCCTCTGGGTGACAGGCGTGAGTGTTTATGTTTATGTAATAATTTAAACTAATAGAGCAACACGGGGATAAAGGTGTTCAAAAACACAAGTTGGAGCCGCTCTGCTCACTAGACAGAAACTCACTAGAAGAGAAATCTAGTCGCGCGAGTGATTTGACGTCCTACAAAAAAGGCCGAATTGTTCAGTTTTTTTTAAATCAATTTAAATATACAAAAAGATATACACATCCAAATCTAAGAAATACCTTTTGACGTTTCACATTTATCATTCCGCATTAACTTTAACGTACTCACACGATTTAAAATAACCTTTTAAATAAATTCCCATAATTACTAACTAATATATTTATTTCATTACAACATGTATAGTTTTCTTTATCACTAATTTAAGTTAAAATCTTTCAAAAAGAGCAAAATTTTTAAAAAATACCATAATTTTTTTTGCTTGACGTTGTTTCGATGATACGTCGCTATACTTACCGTAGTGTTTGGATGATAAAAAGTCATTATTATGAGAATAATCGGCAAAAATATTCAAATAATCGGTAAAATATTCAAATAATTGAAGCTTTTTTCATGTTTTTTTAAATAAATTGAATCATGAAAAAAACGATTTTTTTTATAATTTCCTACTTTGTGAAGGCAAAAAAAAATTGAAAAAACACTACGTAATTCCAGTATTTCGCCATTCGTTCGGAAGCTTACTTTCGTGACTTTGTGTTTTAATGATTTAGTGTT